ATGTCAACAGTGCTGTTTCATAAAGGCAAGCCAGGTCATCGGTAACGTTAAAACAAAAATTCATACTCTACTTCGATCAATTCTTCGATTTCAAGAGCAATTTTTCGTTTTTCAGCCAGGCTCGCGCTATCCTTCAGGCGGTGGTGAAGGATATTCAGCTCAACATCTGGCGCGGGAACGGCTTCGGTCTGCAAATAAATGTAAGCCAACATGTTAGAGTTACGCCTTTCATGGAATTTCTTATAAGAATTTTGTTCGCCTGTTCCAAATTAAAAGACCTTTGAATAAGTAGAATGGTATCTATTATATCAATGATATTTTACAGAGTGGCCCAACTACAAGATGTTCTTACCATTGGTTCCCCACGATACTCCTCTGGAGACTTTCCGGAAACAATTCCCGTGCCGTCTCTTTGAAATTCGTCCAGGTCATCACCATCATAATCCTGTCAAAGAAAAAACTCGCGTCATCATTTTAGCTTCATCTTATTGTCAAAAGGCATGAAAAGATGAGTGGATGCATCTTTATCAGTTACAACCTGAACAGGGCTACCTGTAGAATAAGTGCATTTTTAGTGGAAAGGCCTTACAATTTCACACTGGAGAAGCCGTGTACTTAGTTTATGATTATATCTCTTTCCTCTGTGTTATGTTAAAAGGCGCACTATAAATAAATAAATTATTATTATTATTATTATTACTACTACTCTCCGGTGGAGAAGTGCTGCTCTTATTGATTGCATTGCACTACCATTTACCGGGTTCGAGACCAGGCCGGGTCACTGTGTCAGTGTGTTCTGTTCTCAAGCAAGACACTTTATTCTCACCGTGCCCCTCTCCACCTAGGAGCATAAAAGGATACTGGCGAACTGTCAGCGAAAGACGACGAAATACTTCCTTGGGGCAAATAAAACCGCGATAACCTTCCATTGGATGACTGCAGAGTTGATCTTCAATACCATTTACAAAGGATTTCCCCGTTTTCGACACAAACAGGCCTTACTCCAGTTTCACCCGCATGAAGCCACGTGTAGAACTGCAATTTCTGTTGAACGTTAGTTTCTAACACTTCTTAAAGCTTTCCTGACAGTTTTCCACGAAAGAGAAACTCTTAGGTGGAGGAGATGGGCATTGTATGGGTACTCTAGAAAATTAAATAGTAGCCCAGCCAGGACTTCAACTCCGATCTTCCGACCGGGAGTCAAACAAGTCCACCACCGGGTTAATTACTCGTCCACTGCGACTATCAGCAAACTGGTAAGTTCAATATATAATAAATGTAGCAGGTCTCCATACTGCATCACGTGACTAGTGCTCGTCTCCTGTTTGACAATTTGGAATTATCGCAAGAGTGTCTCCTTAGATAAATCAACCTGCAAATTGATATGGAATCAAACAGAAAGTAGTTACTAAAAGACGAAGAGAAATCGCGAAAGTTTCCGGTAAGTTTTGGATCGATCGATAACTGATTAGAAAATAACTAATTTTAATCTTGTGACTTTCCTGTTGGCCCAGTTGTATAAAGGGCGGATAACGCTATACAACGGATTGATAACTATCCAGCGGACAAATGTTAACAAAGCGCACTGCGCTGTCCATCAGACGGAGATTCATCAGGTGGACAGCGTTATCCAACCTTCGAAAAGTCGGGCGCAAAAGTTAGGGATTCCGCTGTTAACTATTCCGCTTTTGTCTGCATTCGTTTTCCAGAACAAATCCATGTTCCGGAATTACCATAACTAACAGAACAAACAACTTTTGAGAGACGAATGGGTTAGACCTCAGCACTGTGAAAATAAAAGGAGAAGTTGGTTGTGTTACACACGCACCCCATCAGAGTTTTCCATCCACTTCACAGAGTACACATCTCCAAGGTGCGTATGTCTTTTCTTGTCATAGTAGCAGGGATACGAGGATTAGTTCATAGGGGTTGGCAGAAGTAGCTGCATAGAATAAGAAAACAAAGATTCATTAGCATAGATAAGTAGCCACTTGATAAAAAAGTGACACAAACAAATAAAAGTTCGTGAATTGCCGCAGGAGGTTTGAAAAACTATACATGTGATTTGTTGTCCGAGACAAAGGAGGTTGAATCATGAAAATATTTCCTGTTGAATTCTCTATACGCTAGATCTCTTTGAGCAACTTAAGATCAATTTTGTTGCTGACTTGCACTTTATGTTCTTCTGTCTTAGCTGTTTTTCTCCTTATCTTCATCGTAATACATTAATAGCATTTTCACTCACCCCCCAATATGGAAACTCAAATCTTAATAAAATGTTGCATGGTGAGGAAACGACTGCAAGTTCTGTGATAAGTTCTCTGACAAATGTTCTATCTTTAAAAAACTTCAAAGTATATTTACTGAGCATATTTACTTCAAAGTATATTTGCTAATGCATAAATAGCGCTCTCTACTGCGAGGATAGTGCATCATACGTATCTAATACCGCAGATCAAAATATATGAACTTCGTATATTCATTGTATCTGATTTAT